GTGTGTGTGTGTGTGTGTGTGTGTGTGTGTGTGTGTGTGTGCATCTGTTCCTTAGTCACTTTCCAACTTCTTTTGGAGACAGTCTCTCACTGAACCAGGAGCTCACCAGTTTATCTAGGCTCACTGTCCAGCGAGCTCCAGGACTCTTTCTGCCTTTGCCCACCTGGCACTGGGATTACAAATATACACTGTACCCAGCTTTTTATGTGGGTTCTGCCTGGCTGGATGAGTGCCTCCCCAGCCCCATGATTCACATTTCTGTGAAATAACTTAATAGTGTTCCTATTCTAGTTACAGGATGATGGAGTGTGAATGATCCTTTGCTTCAGAGTTATATAAAAAAAAAAGTTAAGATGATAAAATATACTTTCCTTATAGAACTTTGAGGTTCATACTACTAAGTTACTACACTATAGAATGTATTACATGTGTTTGGTATCTTGTCTGTTCAACTCAAAATTCTGTTTTCTATCCCCAGCCTGCACCAGCATGGACTACTTTTAGAGTTGGCCTATTTTGTGGAATATTCATTGTGTTGAATATTACTCTCGTGCTTGCAGGTAATTCTGAACTTGTAGCTCACTTGTTCTTATTGTGTTTATGACATATTCTATCCTTTTGTAAATAATCAAGCATATATCTACCAAAACTACTGAAAGTTTTGTGGGAGGTTTTAGACAGTTATTTTTCTTTTGGGATATAATTCTTTAAAACATTGACTTCTTATTTACTCTCATTTTCTGGTATTTAACTTCAGGAATTTTAGAGTTCAGTTATCAAGAACTTCTTTTTCCTCAATTTTTAAATTTAAATTAGAAACAAGATTGTTTTACATGTCAATCCCAGTTCCCTCTCCCTCCCCTCCTCCCCTGCCCCCACCTCCAACTAACACCCTACCTATCCATATCCTTTCTGCTCCCCAGGGAGGGTGAGGCCTTCTACCACAAGAGGCCCCATAGATTTCCGAGGTCTCCTCACTGAAACCTGCATTCATGGGGTCTGGATCAGTCCCATGCTGGTTTCCCAGCTATCAGTCTGGGGACCAAGAGCTCCCCCTTCTTCAGGTCAGCTGTTTCTGTGGGTTTCACCAGCCTGGTCTTGACCCCTGTGCTGATCACTCCTCCTTCTCTACAACTGGATTCCAGTTCAGTTCAGGGATTAGCTGTGGGTGTCTGCTTCTATTTCCATCAGCTGCTGTATGAAGGCTATAGGATGGCATATAAGTTAGTCATCAATCTCATTATCAGGGGAGGGCATTTAAGGTAGCCTCTCCTCCGCTGCTTAGATTGTTAGTTGGTGTCATTGTTGTAGATCTCCAGACATTTCCCTAGTGCCTGATTTCTCTTTAAACCTATAATATCTCCCTTTATTTTGGTATCTCTTATCTTGTTGTCCTCTATTCTTCCCCCAACTCAACCTTTCTGCCCCCTCATGTCCTCCTTACCCCTCCTCTTCTCCCCTTCTCATTTCCTGGCTCCCTCTCTCCTCCACCATGCTCCTAATTTGCTCAGGAGATCTTGTCCCTTTCCCCTTCTCCAGGGGACCATGTATGTCTCTCTTAGAGTCCTCCTTGTTTCCTAGCTTCTCTGGTGATGTGGATTGTAGGCTGGTTATCCTTGACTTTATGTCTAAAATCCACATATGAGTGAGTACATACCATGTTTGTCTTTTTGTGACTGGGTTACCTCACTCAGGATGGTTTCTTCTAGTTCCATCCATTTGCCTGAGAATTTCATGATTCCCTTGTTTTTTTCTGCCGAGTGGTACTCCATTATGTAAATGTGCCACATTTTCTCTATCCATTCTTCAGTTGAGGGGCATCTAGGTTGCTTCCAGGTTCTGGCTATTACAAATAACGCTGCTATAAACATCATTGAACAGATGTACTTGTTGTAGGAATGTGCTTCTTTTGGGTATATGTCTAAGAGTAGAATTGCTGGATCTTGTGGTAGACTGATTCCCATTTTCCTGAGAAACCTCCATAGTGATTTCCAAAGTAGTCTTACAAGTTTGCACTCCCAGCAGAAATGGAGGAGTGTTCCCTTTTCTCCACATCCTCTCCAGCATAAACTCTCATTGGGTTTTTTGATTTTAGCCATTCTGACAGGAGTAAGATGGTATCTCAGAGTTGTTTTGATTTGCATTTCCCTGATTGCTAAGGATGTTGAACACTTTCTTATGTGTCTTTCAGCCATTTTAGATTCCTCTGTTGAGAATTGTCTATTTAGTTCTGTATCCCACTTTTTAATTGGATTATTTGGTGTTTTGGAAACTAACTTCTTGAGTTCTTTGTAAATTTTGGAGATCAGCCCTCTGTCAGATGTGGGGTTGGTGAATATCTCTTCCCATTCTGTGGGCTGTCATTTTGTCTTGCTGACTGTGTCCTTTGCCTTTAAAAAGTTTCTCAGTTTCTGGAGGTCCCATTTATTAATTTTCGATCTCAGTGTCTATGCTACAGGTGTAATGTTCAGGAAATGGTCTCCTGTACCAATTTTTTCAATGGTATTAACCACTTTCTCTTCTAATGGTTCAGTGTGGCTGGGTTTATATTGAGGTCTTTGATTCATTTGGACTTAAGTTTTGTGCATGGCAATAGACATGGATCTATCTGGACACTTCTGCATGCCAGCATCCAGTTATGCCAGCACCATTTGTTGAAGATGCTTTCTTTATTCCATTGTATAACTTTAGCTTCTTTGTCAAAAATCAGGTGTTCATAGGTGTGTGGGTTAATATCAGGGTTTCCAACTCAATTCCATTGGTCTGTCTATTTTTGTGCCAATACCAAGCTTGAAGTCAGGGATGGTGATGCCTCTGGAAGTTCCTTTATTGTACAGGGTTGTTTTGGCTATCCTGGGTCTTTTGTTTTTCCATATAAAGTTGAGAATTGTTTTTTCAAGGTCTGTGAAGAATTGTGCTGGGAATTTGATGGGGATTGCATTGAATCTGTAGATTGCTTTTGGCAAGATTGGCATCTTTACTAAGTTGATCCTATCTATCCAAGAACATGGGAGATCTTTCCATTTTCTGGTATCTTTAATTTTTTTCTTTAAAGATTCAAAATTCTTACGATACAGGTCTTTCACTTTTTTTGGTTAGCGTTACCCCAAGGTATTTTATGTTTGTGGCAATTGTAATCGGTGATGTTTCTCTGATTTCTTTCTCAGCGCATTTATCATCTGTATATAGTAGGGCTACTGTTTTTTTTTTAGTTAATCTTGTATCCTGCCACTTTGTTGAAGGTGTTCATCAGCTATAAGAGTTCCCTGGTAGACTTTTTCAGGTCACTTATGTAGACTATCATATGGTTCAACATATGAAAATCCATCAATGTAATCCACCATATAAACACACTGAGAAAGAAAAACCACATGATCATCTCACTAGATGTTGAAAAAGCCTTTAACAAAGTCCAACACCCCTTCATGATAAAGGTCTTGGAGAAATCAGGGATAACAGGAACATACCTCAACATAATAAAAGCAATATACAGCAAGCCGACAGCCAACATCAAACTAAATGGAGAGAAACTCAGCGTGATTCCCCTAAAATCAGGAACAAGACAAGGCTGTCCACTCTCTTTATACCTCTTCAACAGTGTCCTTAAAGTTCTAGCTGGAGCAATAAGACAACAAAAGGAGATCAAGAGGATACAAATTGGAAAGGAAGAAGTCAAATTTTCCCTATATCAATAACTTAAGCTTGGGCCAGTGAGATGGTTCAGTGGGTAAAAATGCTTGCTGCCAAGTCTTAACTACATGACTTTGAGGCCTCACATGGTGGAAGAATGAAGCTGACTCCCACAAACTGTCCTTGGCCTCCTTGTATGTGACATATATACAAGTGCACACTAGATAAAAAGTGTAATTAATTTACGACCTTGTTTCCTTGATCATAGATGAAGATAAGCATGTTACAAAGTTCATCCACTAAACCTTATTTAATTATTATTGAGACCCCCCTCATGTTTTTCTGAACCTACTCTGCATGCTTGGCTATGTAGTTTTCAATTCAATGGAAGTTACAAGTAGGAGATAGGTTGCTTGTTTAGCATGCATGAAGTCCTGTGTTCAATCACCAGCACTACATAAAACCAGACATAGTAGCACATACTGATAATCCCAGCATTTGGAAAGGAGAAATACAAAGATCAAGAGTTCCAAGAATTTCCTCAGGTACATAGTGTGTGTGTCTGAGACCAGCCTGGGATGAATGAGATTCTGTCTCAAAAAAACCAAAACAAACCCACACATAAAGAAGTTCAAAATTGCCGGGCGTTGGTGGTGCACACCTTTAATCCCAGCACTCGGGAGGCAGAGGCAGGTGAATCTCTGTGAGTTCAAGGCCAGCCTGGTCTCCAGAGCGAGTGCCAGGATAGGCTCCAAAGCTATGCAGAGAAACCCTGTCTCGAAAAACCAA